TCAAAAGCAACTGTACAACACCTATCGGACAGATAGGAATTAATCCACTGTACTTATCTTTTTCTTAAAACTTCCACCGGAGGGCCCAACATTGAAAATTTTGACATTTTCGTCGGAATCTATAGACTTTATCATTCCTTCGGAAATATTATCAAAAAATTCAACCCAATTAAAAGTTAATACGTAGATTTTCCAAATCCATTTATTAGCTCGGGATGTAACTATGTAATATTGATGCGCCTAAAAGATGCAGCGATTTCTATTCTCAAGTTACATACCTGATGACAGCACGAATGGCAATTATAATAGGGAGGTTTTAGTTTTTTAAACTATAATATTTTTTTTTTTATATATTAATTTTGAATATAACTGCTTAGAACAAAAAATATTATGATTTTTTTCAGTCCCGCAAATCCTGCGGATCATATGTAATTTTTTTTGCTATATTCAAACACACATAGTTATTGGTCCAAAGTGTGCTTTGGTGGCTCTTTGTTTGTCAGCTAAATACCACACAAATTGAATTTGGTATCAGAGAAAATCCATTTAGTACTCAATGTTCGTAGCTTAAGTTACGCATTGAAAATGCTTTTAACTGTACGGGCACTAAGAGAGTGGTTCCATCTAAATACGTATGTACGTAAGGAAGTACATATGTAATAAGTACGTACGTATGTATGCGTAACTTGTGTGGGGTTGTGCATGCAAGGAATGCATATATGTACATATGTATTTACATGCATATCCGTACACACAACACACAACATAAACGGGGACACAACATTTTAAAAAGTTTTCGCTATTTTTCTTTTGTTTATTTAAATTGTATTACTCTTTATGAATCGTTACCTAATAGTAACTATTTCAAAATTTGTACAAAAATTAGAAAAAGTCGACTAATTTCCACAAAAAAAATAATGCCAAAACTTATTAGTAAGTCCCGGTTACTTTAAACATACTATTGATTATATTAAAATTGAAACTGCATACTCAAAATATCAAAAAACTCGAATTAAGCAGTTTGAAATCTTGATGACACTTTTTCGAATTTTGCAAATTTTTTACAAAGTTTGAAATTCGAAATTACGTGGTTTTTGTTAGATACGAGCAATACTTTCGTAAGTGATAATAAACATAAAATTAACAACAGAAAAGCTTGTTAAAATGTCGCGTACCTATTTGTATTTGCGCCACTGTATATATGTAGAAATGTATGCACATTATGGCGGTCCAAAAAAGGTAAACTCGGAATTTTAATGCCCTCATCCCTAGGATTGCTCTATATCCAGAAACTTATACCAGTTTTTTTTTTGTTTTATTTGGAAATTAAACAATATTTAGAGGTCGCTCAAAGCGCTCAAAGTTTTCCATGTATTTTCTGTGGGAAATAAAATTTAAAATAAATGGCTCGGAGTCTTGTTTCTTTCGATAAAGGTATACGTAAATAACATGTTTTTCACAGTTAACAAGTTTTTTATTCATCTCCTTCATAATGCATGCAGTCGAAGCATGCAAGTCTCCTGAAGGGAAATATTCATTTTCAAGAATTCTATATCATTTCCACGAAAACGTGTTTTTTCTCAGCGCTTTGAGTGACATTAAAATATTTTTCGATTTCCAAATAAAACAACTGGGTTATATTTTTTCGACACAGAACAATCTAATTGTGAAGCAATAAAATTCCGACTTTACTGTTTCACATGTAATTTTGGACCACCCTGAATTGCGACAAACACTGCATAAATGATTGTATTTGTTGTCATGCTGACATTTTATAAGAAGATAAATTATAACTTCGACTAGCTTTTAGCTGTAGTAGCATGAAATATGGTCACAAAATGATGACTTAATGCTTTAAACTATTTAGAAAATTAAGGAGATTAAAAGTTTTGATTTTTCGGAGAGCATGTGTTAGTCAAAACAGAGTAATCGTTGGAATTAAAACGTCATTGGGGATAGTAGTAGTGGCAAGGATAAGAGATTTTTTTGATATTAAAATTAATACTTACATACATATGTATTGTATGTATATAATTAAAAGGTTTTGAAAATAAATAAACACGTGCTTTGTACAGAAGCGTTGTCGTGGGGTAGAAAATAAAAGCGAGTTTAATCAAAAAGACAAGCGGAAAGCTATTTATGGCAAGAATGCCTGGCATGAGCCTAATAAGAGCCGCATGTAGGTTTTCTAAGTGTACGAAGAGTCACGAAACATAATAAAAATACTAAAGTAATAAGTCAACGTTTAGGCTTCCTTTGTATAAATTCGTATTTTATTATTGCGTTATTTATTGATAAACAAGTTTTCATGAAAACATGTATGGCAAAAAAAAATCAATTAAATTAGATTTGCCACTTGATTTTACTTTACACTCGAAGTAAAACTTCATATGTAAAAATTCAAATTACATTACCATTTGCATGTTGAAGCTTACGGCAAAGAGTTCACGTGTTCGAATATATGGATGTAATTATAGTATTTTACGTACCGGTTTCAATCAAATTGTTATATTTTATTAAATACAAACAAAAAGTTAGGGAGCAATGCTGATTTATCAAAATTTTTGGGATAGTTCTCAAAGGAACTTATTTAGGATATTATTAAGAATTAAATGGACTATAGTCTGCAAAAAGAAATTACAAGCAAATTTAGAGAGATATGAAAGATAAATGGAATTGTGTACCGTACTCGCGTTAGAGGTAGTGTTTTCACATTTTTTTTTTTTAATTCCAGAGGCACTACTTTTTATTTAAGTCTGTTTAAGGCAGAGGTTCCCAGACTTTTTTTCTCGTAGACTCCTTTCAAAAATTTTCGGGTTTCGGTGGACTCCCTGCCGGTACATTTCTAAATATTCCCAAAGCTCGTAAAAAAATTAAATGTGAAAATGTGAAAATTAGATCGCGGGTGAATTCAAAAACTAAAATCAGAGTGGCCAAAATAAAAGTAA